CAAAACAAAACCTCAAACAATAAGCAAACATCCACAAACTGAAAAAACAATCAGCAACAACTAAAAAAATCAAAATTCAAAACATCAAAACAAATGAGAGTAGATGATGAACATCCAGCCACAATTCTTCCAAACGCAACCAGATCTCTTAGGAAAAAGTATACGTATCAGACCCATCATTCTATCCTTCTAAACAATCTCTTTCGTAATGCAGTGAAAAGACCTTCAACCAAAAGAAAGTTTTACAAAAAATTAACTGACAGTGAAGCAGATAATCTTACTATCGTGAAATCGCATACAAAATGTTGAGCTCATTGGAAACCCCGATTCAAATATCGAACGGAAAAAATCTACGAATGTTCAAGGGAAACATTACCTTACCATGTTGTACCCAAAATGTTTCAACAGGTGCAATTCCTTTTCAAAAAACGAAACGAGCTAAATCTAGGACATTTGCTAGAAGTAACAGTCTCCGCACCACCATCGGGATCAAACAGCCCCACAGTCTCGAAGTAACCAATCATGCAGAAGAAAAATGGCAAGGACAAGCCAAAAACACGATTCCAACCATAACGAATCCCGAAAAAATTTTCCACAGTTTATTTAAAAGAGGTTGAATAATTTTTTCTGTTTTTTAAATTTACGCTTTTATCAACTAGGATTCCAACCATAACGAATCCCGAAAAAAATTTCCACAGTTTATTTAGAAGAGGTTGAATAATTTTTTCTGTTTTTTAACATTGCGCTTTGATCAACTGGGAATGGACTATAGGAACGTTTCCTTAAATAGGCATGCTATAAGAAATATTAAAGAACTCGGCATTCAATTTTTTTTGAAACGGCAATTTTGCAGCAACTCCGGAAATTATTGATATTTAATTTAAAATAGAGTGATAAAATTTAGGTGACCGAATTGTCAATCAAAGAGAGACAAGATATCCGACGGGTTGTCCTATCTCTATCAAACCCGCGAGCCACCTAGAGAGCAAAACCAGCCAGAGTGAGTCAGAAAGAAGCCTGCAGGACTCAATTTTGACTGAAAATACCACTTGACCTTAAATGTCGGAAAACATGGATCTAAATTATGGCTTCCTTGTGTCAGTATATTTGCCATTTACGAAGTTGACAGACACTTTTACAGGTTTTCTTATCTGCGCAGAAATGAAGGCCATCCAAAACTTGGATAAAGTCTACTGGATAAGACGGTTTTACCTCAAACCCTGCGATCCTGGATTCTAGAACCCCATTCAAAACAGGTAACAGCTGACAATAACTCAGTACGAAAGCTAGTCTCGGTGGCCGAATCACTAGAAACGATTACAGACACTTCGACCTCTAAATTGCAGGAAAACACTTCTGAAAAACGCAGTCCAGTAGTTATGAGTACATACGTCCATCGGACAATCATTCAGAGGCATCAGAAGTTCGATCATTTTTAGAACTGGAGAATTTGTTGATTCCATTGGGGCCAAGACCGAACAGGGAGGATGATATTGAAATGGAGTCGATTACGGAAAGCCATCTGCCAAAACAGGTCTGCGAATTCTTGAATTTTAAATTTAAATACAAACGAATTTTGTGACTAAACCTTAGTTTAGATTTATTTAGCTTACTATACTCTCCTTCTTGCATTACAAGTTTCTAATTTTGCAGTATACATACCCTACATTTAGTACTCCTCCGAATCAGTAAATTTTTTACTGACTATTCCTTCGGACTAAATCGAATTCAACTTTTTTCTTTGTAACCAGAACTCTAAGTGCTTACTTAGTTTGATTTGATTTATTCATAAAAGCCTCCTTTTTTCGGGAATCCAAGCAAAAAGTTACTTGCAGTTTATATATATTAGAGCTTCAGCCTGTTTTTTCCCAAGTGAGGAAAGTGTTGTGATTGCTCATTAAGTTTGACTAAATAAAGTCTGGTACTAACTGATTTTGTCCGCACTCGCTCAGTTGGAGCGGTCGCGTAACATTATAATTATCGTTATTAAAATATTACTTATTTCATTCTTTTTTCAACTTTTTAGTATAGCAGTTTAGAGGTTTACTATTTTAACATTTTTTTTGCCGCCAAAAAATGTTTGGCAGCAATCATAAAACTCCCCATACAGTTTTTGCACTAACAGTCAAGAAGTCTCTCACAAAAATTTTGCAGTAACCAAGATTTCAATCATTGTGAAACACAATTTAAAAACATCACTTCAAACAATGTACACTGTTTTGCACAAAGATACCACAGAAAAAAAATGGCAAAAATTCAATCGACAAATAGAAAACACGGGGAATCTACATAACAATTGCCCTCCCTTTGGTACCTACTTAAGAATTGCCACCCATATTAATAAAAGCAGTAAATTAGCGCTAGAGCATTGTATTGAGACTTCTAATTTTGCTGCAATTTGATTGGTCGAAAATGCGTTATATTAATCTACTTAACAATTGCTCCCTTTTCTTAAAGGGGGGGGGGGGGTAATTGTTAAGTAAATCCAACACGAGCCCTGATACGAACTGTATTGTTGAAAAAAAAAACAGTTTTCAAAAAAAAGAGAAATTTAAAAGCTCTGTTTTTTTTGTTCAGAAAAATTTTCAAAAGAGATTTTGCTTACTCGGGCGATCGATCTCTTTATCCAGCTTGGCTCCGTTGGTCGGGTGCACAGACCAATCTTTTAATGTAATGCGAGACTATTCAAACTGCTTGTTTTATAGCATGAAGTTTGATGCTAAAAGTGTAAAGCAGAACTCTTATGCCGCACTCAGTAAAAAAAGAAAAATAATCGATTATATTAGAAATGCAATTGTACTTTTATCAAAATTATAATTAACTATAAGCGCCAAAGTAAGATTTTTGAACGCTTTTTAGTCCATTATAATGATAACATTTTTCAAGACATTATTATAAATTACAATCAATTAAAGTTGTTTATAATTTTTCCGAAAATCTTTTATAATCTTTTATAATCTCTTATACTCTTATAATCTCTTTTAATTAATAATAATTTTTTGTAATTGATCATAATCATATTTTCTTCCAAAAATTTCTAAAAATGAGATCTCTTGTTACTCTTTGTTTCATCTGACAACAATGTTTTACCACGTAACCAAAGTTTTATGAAAGAATCCCCCGGTAGGTGAAATAAAACTATTCTAATATATAAGCCAAGAAATCAAAGCAGTGAGCTGATATTTTTTGTTGGTCAAAAAAACTTAAAATGTGCATCATAAAACAGCTATAAAATATAAGCATTTCAGGTGGAAGATCGAAGACAAAATGGTAAAACAAAATGGGTTATAAACAATCGATTTTTTCTGCAAAACAAATGAATTAAAAAATTGGATAAAAGCAATCGATTTTACTCGATCATTATGTATTATAATTGATTATATTTGATTTCAAAAAGAGATATTATAATAGATTGTTAATTGATTAAAATCATTTCTTTCTCAATTTTTCTAAGACTGGTACTAAAATCATATTATAATCGGTTATTAACGCTTGAAACAGGATGACGGTCCTCTTTAAAATTGCTCCAAACTGAACGGAGGCAAGCTAATTAATCTTATTATTTACATACTCGATTCAAACAAAAACGTATAAAATTTGATGTTATCAGCCTGAAAGTCATGGTTTGTCAATATTTCTTCTATCGATTTCTTTTACCAAACACTTTTCCAGACTAGATGAAGGGCAGTCGGAAGATTCAAGTGTTTGTTCTGATACGATTAGTCTTGTTTCAGTTTGAAAAATTTAGTTTGAGCTTCTAGTATTTTGTAGATATGTTATTGAAAGGACATTTTCCATTTCTGTAGAGCTTTGTTGGTTTGAAAATGGCCAATTGGTCGTCTCAATTGGTAAAATTAATGCGCGATATATATTGTTCTCTTAGAGTGTAAGCTTTAATTCCAGAAGTCTTTCGGTTTAGCTTTGAATTAACTATTTGTAACCTATATCATGCTACACGCAAATTTTATCGACCAAATATGTTCCAGTGATAGCGTGTGGTGGTAGTATTTAAAAGCAAAATTGAAAAGTGCAGGTTTTTGTTTTCATTTTTAAAAAAATCGACTTTTGAGTCTATTAAAATATAAATTCCTCTTTACTCCTTAAGGGGTTCTAGTTATTCGGGGCTGTGCTCTAATACGTGCAATCTTGTTTTGATAAGCTTTGCATGTAGTTTTGGATATTCTTCTTTGCTATGATTGTGTTTGTGGAAAGATGGTGTGGCCGCTTGTTACTGGAATTTTCTTTTAAATTCAACACTTACTGCAGCGCCGTTAGGCGGTCGATCAGGAAACTCGTTTTTTTTTTCGAAAAAGTTTACGGGAACTCGGTGGCTCAGTTTAAATTTACGATTTGGAGTTAAGACCAATTTAATTCCAGTTTATCGGGCATTTAACAACTAATTTATAGAAAAAGAGTGTAGTTTGCAATACGCTGTGTGTCTTTATAATTATGGTTGCAACCTACTCGCAATCACTTCTATTAAGGCTTATCAGAATAAACTTAAGCATTTTTTGTCCGGACCATTTTTTCACTACACTGAATAAATTTGAAAAAAAAAATTGTTAAGAAATTCCAAGTCACGACTTATAGGGATGTTTTAGTATCATACTTGACCCCTTACGAGCTTTTTGGGCGCTCAAAATCGGGAAGAAAAAACACCCCCTTGGTCATAACTCTTTCCCATTTCTGGAATATTCTTTCCGCCCTTCTCAACCTCGTAGTTACTTACTACTCGCGGCTGTTTGGGACAATTATTAAGTCCATTTAGAATTCCGAATGGAACTAATGACATCAAACAACTCCTATACTTGTACTTCTGTAGTAGTAGGAATAGTTATTATCTATCACAAATCACAAGTGGGGGGGGGGGGGGGGGGGAAGGGGGTGATGAACATATCGTCCGCTTGAGAACAACTGACTTCAAAAAATAAGCTGAGCGAACAATAAGTTGACGCAAGTGCAATCTATATTATGTAATTTTCTTAATATAGACAGCAACAAACAGGTTATATAAAAGATTAAATATTTATATTGTTGAAATCTAAGCAAATTTATTCAAAGTTTAGCGCATAATCTGTTATATTTTGAATAACTTGTCTACTAAAATAATATGTCTAAGAGCCCGGATACCAAGAGTTATGCTCAGAGTTTTGATTTTATAAATATTTTCCTCAATTTTTTCAGTTTTTTCCTGCATTCTTTTTCAGGTTATTTTGAATATTTTTGATTGTAGTCTAGTATTGGAAGAACGGCTGTTTTGCTTTTCCCCATCTCTCCTCAGAAGGTGGGTTGTACATTGGAAGACGTCTGAAACACAAGATAGGAAAATGTAACAAAAAAAAGTCATTTTGAATATCTTTATATAATATTTTACAAAAATCAACAAATATCGCTAGATAATACTTTCAAAAAATTCAAATATTAAAGGCGAGTTAGGGGACTGTAAATTTAGCATAAAGATAAAAACTTAAAATTTTGAAAAATAGAAAAATAGATGCAATTGACTATTCACCAATAAGGTTTCACTACTAAGAATTAATATCTCTATATTTGACAGTTAAAAAATTTCGAATTTTTGATATGATTGAAAGCGACAAAGATTTATATAATAATTATATAATAATTGAAATGTCAAGAAGCAGTTATTACATAACAAAAAAAATACATAATTTCAGCTAATTGCTAACTGCATCCTTGAAATGATTTCAAAAATTCAGGTTTGCCTGTCAGGTGGAACCTCTATTAGCAAACCGTTTTTTCTCGATAGCGATAGAAACAAAGAAGAAAATGTATCAAATTGCTTTTTTTATAATTTTTTTTCCAACATTGAAATATAAACAATTAGCGTAAAAGCGACCAAAAAAGGCTGTCTTAGCCTTTAATTTACTGTTGTAAAGATAATGTATAATAATGCCATTATACAAGGCCATGCCTCAGCCACAAAATCAACGAACCAGTTTGATGTCAACATTAAATCCGATTTTCATTCTATAATTTCTTGTTATGAATTTTTTAGGTTCTGAGGCTGTTAAAATTAGAGAAGGATGGTAAGTTACCTGTTAATTTTGGCGTACTGTAGGACGTAGTCGCCTATGGTGTCTTGGGGGAACTTGAGGACGACCCAGTCTACCAGGAGGTGTCTTTTGGATGCCCCCATCAGGAAACAACCCAGTCGCTCGTCCCAGTTGTCAATCGAGCCACCCGTGAACACCTGCAGAAAACAAGAAAAATAAAAAAAGAGAAAAAACATTAAAAAAATTTAAACCCCCTAAATTTATTGCTGACTATACATTCGCCCAGATGGTTTAGTTGAGCCAATTTTATTCAATTTAGCAAATATATCTCGAAAAATCTCTTGAAATGATACCCCTTCAAGACGTTCCATTTCTTCAAGCATTCAACTCTCTAACTACCCAAAGGGTCCCCTTTTGGTACTAGTTAACGATTTACGACACCCCCTTTAAACAGATTGAAATATCAAACAAACAGTCTAGAACTTTACCTGTCGAATTGTAGATCTGAGGTTGCTCTGGGTATGAGTTGACCCCGTATACAACAGCTGCACTTTGCCCCCTCCCCTGCTCAGTCCGATGAAGTAGGCACCCCTCGCTAGGGGGGCAGTTTTCATGGCTACACTGGCAGGCTTCCATTTGAAGCTTCTTTCCATCAATAGCAGAGTTTTTTTTAAACTTTTTTCCAAGGTTTTCCTTCGAAGGAAAAAATAGAGAACTAAACAAGCAACTCAATCCGGTTGACAAGTTTTGAAATAATGAAAGTATGGTCAAACGCTTTTTTTTGAAGTGCCGAAGTCATTTAAAAATGCATATGACGAAAGAGCTTTAAATACTTTGGGGATATTTGGGACTGAAACTCATTAACAAAACCATAAGCCTCATTATTTGAGAGGCACATTTTGAATAGTTTAATCGTGAAAAGATTCAGTTAAGTAATTGGTTGATTACCAAGTGGGTGAATTAGCATAAGCAGGGATTACTTTTTGCGCCAAAACACTGTATTGTTCAAAAGTAGAGGACAGAGTTGTTTCTGTGTGAATGTATAATTAGCTTTCAAGATTCACTTGTATTTTTTGCAACTGCTAGAAACAAGAAAAGTGGATACGACCTCTGCAAAATTTGCAAATACAAATTTTGTGATATGTTAGCGGCGCTTTGATTTTAACTAATGGTGGGGGGAGAGGGATTGTGATAGTTTTTTTTTTGAAAAAAATAAGCATTCTGAGCACGTTTGGAAAGCCGGGTTGTCAAATAATACACTTCTTATACAAATTTAGGGATCAAAAATGTCTGTAAAGATATTCCATGCAGTCAAAATGATAAAAAATATATATATTTTTTAAAATCATGATTTATCCCCTTTTTTATAATTTCATTGTAAGATTCAATATTTTCATAAATTTTATTAAAGAAAAAATAGATCTCTGAAATTTGAGACATTTTTTTGGTTTGTCTTCAGAGAAAATTACGGACCATTTCGTAAATACTGTAGGCTAAGAGTCATGTACCCCAGTAGCATGAATTAGGAAGCTCGCCACTTTCAATAATCTTTAAAGTTTCCTTCATATAAAAAATCCTTCATATAAAAAAAAACAAATAAGCCGAAATAAAGTTCCTAATTACAAGTTTCAAAACATAAAAAATGATAATAAATGTTTTCATCGGTTCCATGCATAGATTTTTATAGTGACTATCGTTTGTTTATGAGCTCATTTGTTTGCCTTGTCGTTTTTTTTTGCAGAAGTCAATAGCCATTCTCTCGTCCCGTAGACACAATCGAGCCACAGCCTTTATTGTTTATTTAGAAAATTATGGTATTCATGAATTTATATTCCCTTTAAAAGACAAGTTGCAATATACTTCCCGCCGTAGTCGCGCCAATGTGTTGCGAGCTTGCCATTCGAGGGCCTTCCTGGAGCGGTCTAAGAAACATGGGTTGGTTTTCGAAAAACTTTGCTAGAAACGTTGCCTTCGCTGTCTGTGTTTCAGGTGGATGCCCCGATTCCAGGCAAGGCGCATCTCTGACTTTTCCCAGGCGCTTGCAATTGGCACATCAAGGACAAAATATATCAAACAATCTCTAGTAAAATCTTCCATTCACTCTTACCGCGGCGCCACACTCCAAGATCTGTATAAAACAGTATTACAATATTAGACAAAAGCGCCTTAATACATTTACCATTATCGCAGGGCTTAAGGATAATAGGCTGCGCTGCATCCACGAGAAGTTGAGCAAATGTAGGAAAACTTAATCAATCTAATTACAAACAAGTTCCAGTCCAAAACCCTAATTATCCCCAAAACAATCCAAAGCTCCATTAACAATGATGTTAATCGCAAACTCTACATTCATAACCATATGCTGTTTAATTATTAAATTTCTTCATCCACACACACATTGTTTCGCCCAATCTTAAATTAAATCTAACTCCTCAAATGATCTGCCGAGATGGCATCCACTTCTCGTTCTTTGGTAATGAATTCTTTACAAATTTTCTTCCTTATATTATTTACTAATTCTCTTGATAATCTGACGATACCGTTCCCTCTAAAAAAAATGTCCGATCAAACACATAGTATCATATGTAAAAACCACCTACGCGACCATGGAATTGGTGCACAACATGCAAAGCCTACATGCATGTAAAATGCAGCGGCCTTAATCGAGTCAGCGACCACGACGAAAATTTCAGCTGCTTTCGCTGCACCTCCCTGATTACAGACAACACTACAACTGAAATTCAAGCCCCTCCAACTCAACCTCAACAAGCTCCTTCGACCAACGATCAAAATCCTGCCATTGCAAACAGCAACGAAACTGTAACAGCCACACCCGACCCTTGGTCCAATCCCATACCTGAAAAAAAAAATAAAATAAGAACCATCTAAAGCCAAGAAGTGCACTGGAAACCAGTCTTCATGATCCTCGCAAGAATTGTGTTTAACTTGAAAAAACGTTCTAAATAGAAGCCTCAACTCGTTAATTGAAACACAAGAAAACACATACGCATTGCACGCAACAATGTTATTCCCTCAACTCATGCTATGCAAAACTAAATCGGAGTGTGATGGTTTGAACTCTAAAACTATACCAAGAAGGCTTAAGCAATGGCATAAGGGCGAACTGGATGAACTTTTTAACGAGGGAGAAGCGCTGCAAATGCACTTGGCAAAAAAAATAAAAAGAAAGTAAAAACTGAAGCACAGCGGTTTGAAAAAATTAATGAGCACCGCTAAAGTATCAAGTGCTATTGCTAAATTAACTGACACCTCCAAAGGAATACTATCACTCGAGGAAACCGACAAAAGTCAAACTGTTGAGCAACTCCTCATCGAGAAACATCCTCCCGTGCAGCCAGTAAACAGCAACTATACAACATCACGCTCCGAAGATGCAATTCCTTTCCACTCATTCACATTCGACCAAATAAATGCGCAGAAAATTAGGAAGGCTGCCATGACAACACCTTGTTCTCAAGGACCCTCAGGTTTGGATACAAATGAGTGGAGACGCATACTAATGCACTTTGGTAAACGGTCAGTTGAAATATCAAAGACACTAGCCGAAATTGCACAGAAAATATCAACAGTCATGAGCTTCTTGAACCACATAATGCCTGGCGACTAATTCCACTTGATAAAAAGCCAGGAGTTAGGCCAATTGGAATAGGCCAATTCATCCGCAGAATAATAGGTAGAACGATCACAAAGTGCTCAAAAAGCGAACTAATGATACTCGGATTGAATTACCAACTATGCCCTGGCCAAAAATATGACATCGAATATACAATTCATACGCTTAGGAAGCAATACGAGAAAACAGATTCCCATGCAATATTACTGATAGACGCGTAAAATGCATTTAAACCCCTAAACCGGAACCTAGCTTCAAAAGTCAATGCAAGTATATGCCCTTCTATAAAACCCGCTATACAGAACTCATACTCTAATCCATCTAAACTCTTCGTAAAAAATATATCCTATCTAGAGAAGAAACCACACAAGGAGACCCATTAGCAATGGCAATGTACGGGCTAGCTACTTTACTTTTAATAAAACTAGTCAGCAATAACAGCCTAACACAGAAAGGGTATGCAGACGATGGGAATGCAGTCGGAAATTTGAAAAGCCTGCGAAGAATTTTTGACAACATTATCAAACACGGAAAATATTTTGGAAATCATGCGAAGGCATCGAAATTCCAGCTCATTGTAAAAGATGAAAAATACAATGAAGCGATAAAAGTATTCAAAAATAACGCAATTGAAATGAAGAAAGAGGCCAAAGTATTTGGTTCTGTCATAGGCTCCGAGACGAAATGTAACACTTTCTTAGAAACTCAGTTAGAAGAACATAATAAAATACTGAAAAAACTTGGCAGTATTGCGAAAACATCACCGCAAATTGTGTACTCCTGTTACACCAAAGAGCAACAAGTGAAATTTTTGTTTTCAATTAGAACTACCCTTATACCACAGAAAACATGCAGACCTGAGAGAAGATACTGCAGGAAAATCTCATTCCAAATTTAACTGGTAAAGATAATGTCAGCCATCAACTTACAAACATCGCTTCTTTGCCACTGAAAACGTGTGTCTAATGTCCAGAATTTTCTATAATTATCAATTAAAACATAATCAGTACTAGACACATACAACCCATTAACAGCTATATCTGAGAAAAAATCTATACAAAAATTAAAACACTTAAAACCGAAAGAACGAACCAAAAAAAAACTAACATTTTAAGCAAGTTGAGTGACAATGAAAAATACACACTTTAGCCGGCCTCCAAAAAAGAGCCTCAAACTGGTTAAATTAACTGCCACTTAGCAGATATGATTTAAACCTGAATAAATCCGAATTCCGGAATGGAATTTATCTCAGACATGGAAAGGAAACAACCAACAATCCACTCACATGTGCACGTGGTCAATCTATTGACCTTGCCCACGCCCTTCACTTCGCAAAAAGTGGATATACCCACATGAGGCATTGTGAAATCAGAGATACCTTTGCCAACCTCATGTTGAAATCGAGCCGACGCTTCAGTCTTTGCAAGGCGAGAACTTTGTCAACAATTGAACGACAACTGATGAAGACGAGTGACTAGACGTAAAAGCAAACGGATTATAGGGCCCAACGTTTAGCCGAACCTTCTTTGATGTCAAAGTTTTCAACCCTCACGCAAAAACTATACGAACACTACTGAAAGAAGCCTATAAATACCATGAATCACTAAAAACTCAAAATACCAACATAGAGTTCACATGTCGAACAGAGCAGCTTCTGTGCGCTCATTTTTGGCTGCACTGTTGGTGCCGCACCAGCAGCTACTCGGACAATGCAGCGCATAGCTGAAAAACTTAGTGAAAAAAGGCATGAAAGCTGCTCAGAAACAATAAACTATAAATGAACTAAGATAAGCTTCGCGCTGCTCAGGTGCGCTATCCTTTGTATACGGGGGTGCAGATTACTGCGTAGAACGCAATTCATAGACAATCCAATTAGTGCTCTTGTAGATGAGGGACGGTTGAAGTAAATACTTTTAGACGATGCATCAAATGCTGACTTGTCTTAATTCCCGCTCTATTGTTTATTGGTGTATTTATAAAATGCTGGTATGGGCCCTATCCAACTTGTGCACGACCGTACCTAAACGGAAGGGCCCCTTTTATAATTTACTTTTTTATAATAATAAAATGTTCAGCTCCTTTATAATTCTTGTGCAAAATGTTTGTGAACAGGCAGTGATGTCCGTTTAAGAAATAGAAATTGAAATTTAACTTGAAATTGTTCAAAAAATTTAAAAAATTATTGGCATGAAACAAAATCAACGAACCAGTTTGAAGTCAACATTAGATCCGATTTTCTTTCTATAATCTCTTGTTATGAATCTTTTAGGTTCTGAGGCTGTTACAATTAGAGACACCCCAAAGATGGTACAGTTAGAATGTTAAGGTTAGGATGGTAAGTTACCTATTAATTTTGGCGCATTGTAGGACGTAGTCGCCTATGGTGTCTTGAGGGAACTTGAGGACGACCCAGTCTACCAAGAGGTGTCTTTTGGATGCCCCCATCAGGAAACAACCCAGTCGCTCGTCCCAGTTGTCAATCGAGCCACCCGTGAACACCTGCAGAAAACAAGAAAAATAAAAAAAGAGAAAAAACATTAAAAAAATTTAAACCCCCTAAATTTATTGCTGACTATACTTTCGCCCAGATGGTTTAGTTGAGCCAATTTTATTCAATTTAGCAAATATATCTCGAAAAATCTCTTGAAATGATACCCCTTCAAGACGTTCCATTTATTCAAGCATTCAACTCTCTAACTACCCAAAGGGTCCCCTTTTGGTACTAGTTAACGATTTACGACACCCCCTTTAAACAGATTGAAATATCAAACAAACAGTCTAGAACTTTACCTGTCGAATTGTAGATCTGAGGTTGCTCTGGGTATGAGTTGACCCCGTATACAACAGCTGCACTTTGCCCCCTCCCCTGCTCAGTCCGATGAAGTAGGCACCCCTCGCTAGGGGGGCAGTTTTCATGGCTACACTGGCAGGCTTCCATTTGAAGCTTCTTTCCATCAATAGCAGTTTTTTTAAAACTTTTTTCCAAGGTTTTCCTTTGAAGGAAAAAATAGAGAGTTAAACAAGCAAATCAATTCGGTTGACAAGTTTTGAAATAATAAAAGTATGGTCAAACGCTTTGTTTGAAGTCCCGAATTCATTTAAAAATGCATATGACGCAAGAGCTTTAAATACTTTGGGGATATTTGGGACTGAAACTCATTAACGAAACCATAAGCCTCATTATTTGAGAGGCACATTTTGAATAGTTTAATCGTGAAAAGATTCAGTTAAGTAATTGGTTGATTACCAAGTGGGTGAATTAGCATAAGCAGGGATTACTTTTTGCGCCAAAACACTGTATTGTTCAAAAGTAGAGGACAGAGTTGTTTCTGTGTGAATGTTTAATTAGCTTTCAAGATTCACTTGTATTTTTTGCAACTGCTAGAAACAAGAAAAGTGGATACGACCTCTGCAAAATTTGCAAATACAAATTTTGTGATATGTTAGCGGCGCTTTGATTTTAACTAATGGTGGGGGGAGAGGGATTGTGATAGTTTTTTTTTGAAAAAAAAAAAGCATTCTGAGCACGTTTGGAAAGCCGGGTTGTCAAATAATACACTTCTTATACAAATTTAGGGATCAAAAATGTCTGTAAAGATATTCCATGCAGTCAAAATGATAAAAAATATATATATTTTTTAAAATCATGATTTATCCCCTTTTTTATAATTTCATTGTAAGATTAAATATTTTCATAAATTTTATTAAAGAAAAAATAGATCTCTGAAATTTGAGACATTTTTTTGGTTTGTCTTCAGAGAAAATTACGGACCATTTCGTAAATACTGTAGGCTAAGAGTCATGTACCCCAGTAGCATGAATTAGGAAGCTCGCCACTTTCAATAATCTTTAAAGTTTCCTTCATATAAAAAATCCTTCATATAAAAAAAACAAATAAGCCGAAATAAAGTTCCTAATTACAAGTTTCAAAACATAAAAAATGATAATAAATGTTTTCATCGGTTCCATGCATAGATTTTTATAGTGACTATCGTTTGTTTATGAGCTCATTTGTTTGCCTTGTCGTTTTTTTTGCAGAAGTCAATAGCCATTCTCTCGTCCCGTAGACACAATCGAGCCACAGCCTTTATTGTTTATTTAGAAAATTATGGTATTCATGAATTTATATTCCCTTTAAAAGACAAGTTGCAATATACTTCCCGCCGTAGTCGCGCCAATGTGTTGCGAGCTTGCCATTCGAGGGCCTTCCTGGAGCGGTCTAAGAAACATGGGTTGGTTTTCGAAAAACTTTGCTAGAAACGTTGCCTTCGTTGTCTGTGTTTCAGGTGGATGCCCCGATTCCAGGCAAGGCGCATCTCTGACTTTTCCCAGGCGCTTGCAATTGGCACATCAAGGACAAAATATATCAAACAATCTCTAGTAAAATCTTCCATTCACTCTTACCGCGGCGCCACACTCCAAGATCTGTATAAAACAGTATTACAATATTAGACAAAAGCGCCTTAATACATTTACCATTATCGCAGGGCTTAAGGATAATAGGCTGCGCTGCATGCACGAGAAGTTGAGCAAATGTAGGAAAACTTAATCAACCTAATTACAAACAAGTTCCAGTCCAAAACCCTAATTATCCCCAAAACAATCCAAAGCTCCATTAACAATGATGTTAATCGCAAACTCTACATTCATAACCATATGCTGTTTAATTATTAAATTTCTTCATCCACACACACTCATTGTTTCGCCCAATCTTAAATTAAATCTAACTCCTCAAATGATCTGCCGAGATGGCATCCACTTCTCGTTCTTTGGTAATGAATTCTTTACAAATTTTCTTCCTTATATTATTTACTAATTCTCTTGATAATCTGACGATACCGTTCCCTCTTAAAAAAATGTCCGATCAAACACATAGTATCATATGTAAAAACCACCTACGCGACCATGGAATTGGTGCACAACATGCAAAGCCTACATGCATGTAAAATGCAGCGGCCTTAATCGAGTCAGCGACCACGACGAAAATTTCAGCTGCTTTCGCTGCACCTCCCTGATTACAGACAACACTACAACTGAAATTCAAGCCCCTCCAACTCAACCTCAACAAGCTCCTTCGACCAACGATCAAAATTCTGCCATTGCAAACAGCAACGAAACTGTAACAGCCACACCCGACCCTTGGTCCAATCCCATACCTGAACTAAAAAATAAAATAAGAACCATCTAAAGCCAAGAAGTGCACTGGAAACCAGTCTTCATGATCCTCGCAAGAATTGTGTTTAACTTAAAAAAACGTTCTAAATAGAAGCCTCAACTCGTTAATTGAAACACAAGAAAACACATACGCATTGCACGCAACAATGTTATTCCCTCAACTCATGCTATGCAAAACTAAATCGGAGTGTGATGGTTTGAACTCTAAAACTATACCAAGAAGGCTTAAGCAATGGCATAAGGGCGAACTGGATGAACTTTTTAACGAGGGAGAAGCGCTGCAAATGCACTTGGCAAAAAAAATAAAAAGAAAGTAAAAACTGAAGCACAGCGGTTTGAAAAAATTAATGAGCACCGCTAAAGTATCAAGTGCTATTGCTAAATTAACTGACACCTCCAAAGGAATACTATCACTCAAGGAAACCGACAAAAGTCAATCTGTTGAGCAACTCCTCATCGAGAAACATCCTCCCGTGCAGCCAGTAAACAGCAACTATAAAACATCACGCTCCGAAGATGCAATCCCTTTCCACTCATTCACATTCGACCAAATAAATGCGCAGAAAATTAGGAAGGCTGCCATGACAACACATTGTTCTCAAGGACCCTCAGGTTTGGATACAAATGAGTGGAGACGCATACTAATGCACTTTGGTAAACGGTCAGTTGAAATATCAAAGACACTAGCCGAAATTGCACAGAAAATATCAACAGTCATGAGCTTCTTGAACCACATAATGCCTGGCGACTAATTCCACTTGATAAAAACCCAGGAGTTAGGCCAATTGGAATAGGCCAATTCATCCGCAGAATAATAGGTAGAACGATCACAAAGTGCTCAAAAAGCGAACTAATGATACTCGGATTGAATTACCAACTATGCCCTGGCCAAAAATATGACATCGAATATACAATTCATACGCTTAGGAAGCAATACGAGAAAACAGATTCCCATGCAATATTACTGATAGACGCGTAAAATGCATTTAAACCCCTAAACCGGAACCTAGCTTCAAAAGTCAATGCAAGTATATGCCCTTCTATAAAACCCGCTATACAGAACTCATACTCTAATCCATCTAAACTCTTCGTAAAAAATATATCCTATCTAGAGAAGAAACCACACAAGGAGACCCATTAGCAATGGCAATGTACGGGCTAGCTACTTTACTTTTAATAAAACTAGTCAGCAATAACAGCCTAACACAGAAAGGGTATGCAGACGATGGGAATGCAGTCGGAAATTTGAAAAGCCTGCGAAGAATTTTTGACAACATTATCAAACACGGAAAATATTTTGGAAATCATGCGAAGGCATCGAAATTCCAGCTCATTGTAAAAGATGAAAAATACAATGAAGCGATAAAAGTATTCAAAAATAACGCAATTGAAATGAAGAAAGAGGCCAAAGTATTTGGTTCTGTCATAGGCTCCGAGACGAAATGTAACACTTTCTTAGAAACTCAGTTAGAAGAACATAATAAAATACTGAAAAAACTTGGCAGTATTGCGAAAACATCACCGCAAATTGTGTACTCCTGTTACACCAAAGAGCAACAAGTGAAATTTTTGTTTTCAATTAGAACTACCCTTATACCACAGAAAACATGCAGACCTGAGAGAAGATACTGCAGGAAAATCTCATTCCAAATTTAACTGGTAAAGATAATGTCAGCCATCAACTTACAAACATCGCTTCTTTGCCACTGAAAACGTGTGTCTAATGTCCAGAATTTTCTATAATTATCAATTAAAACATAATCAGTACTAGACACATACAACCCATTAACAGCTATATCTGAGAAAAAATCTATACAAAAATTAAAACACTTAAAACCGAAAGAACGAACCAAAAGAAAACTAACATTTTAAGCAAGTTGAGTGACAATGAAAAATACACACTTTAGCCGGCCTCCAAAAAAGAGCCTCAAACTGGTTAAATTAACTGCCACTTAGCAGATATGATTTAAACCTGAATAAATCCGAATTCCGGAATGGAATTTATCTCAGACATGGAAAGGAAACAACCAACAATCCACTCACATGTGCACGTGGTCAATCTATTGACCTTGCCCACGCCCTTCACTTCGCAAAAAGTGGATATACCCACATGAGGCATTGTGAAATCAGAGATACCTTTGCCAACCTCATGTTGAAATCGAGCCGACGCTTCAGTCTTTGCAAGGCGAGAACTTTGTCAACAATTGAACGACAACTGATGAAGACGAGTGACTAGACGTAAAAGCAAACGGATTATAGGGCCCAACGTTTAGCCGAACCTTCTTTGATGTCAAAGTTTTCAACCCTCACGCAAAAACTATACGAACACTACTGAAAGAAGCCTATAAATACCATGAATCACTAAAAAACTCAAAATACCAACATAGAGTTCACATGTCGAACAGAGCAGCTTCTTTGCGCTCATTTTTGGCTGCACTGTTGGTGCCGCACCAGCAGCTACTCGGACAATGCAGCGCATAGCTGAAAAACTTAGTGAAAAAAGGCATGAAAGCTGCTCAGAAACAATAAACTATAAATGAACTAAGATAAGCTTCGCGCTGCTCAGGTGCGCTATCCTTTGTATACGGGGGTGCAGATCACTGCGTAGGACGCAATTCATAGACAATCCAATTAGTGCTCTTGTAGATGAGGGACGGTTGAAGTAAATACTTTTAGACGATGCATCAAATGCTGGCTTGTCTTAATTCCCGCTCTATTGTTTATTGGTGTATTTATAAAATGCTGGTATGGGCCCTATCCAACTGGTGCACGACCGTACCTAAACGGAAGGGCCCCTTTTATAATTTACTTTTTTATAATAATAAAATGTTCAGCTCCTTTATAACTCTTGTGCAAAATGTTTGTGAACAGGCAGTGATGTCCGTTTAAGAAATAGAAATTGAAATTTAACTTGAAATTGTTCAAAAAATTTAAAAAAATATTGGCATCAAATTAAATTTCACTGAAACTATTAATTTTTTTTAGCAATTTAAATTTTATTTACGTTTTCGGGTACTTGTCGCAAAATTGAAAAAAATAATAAATCAATTTCTTGGGCATATCTATTTGCAACAAAATCTTTCAGTTTTGTCGTGATATTGTTTGCTTTGTCATCGGAACTGTGAAAAAGTGAAACTAATTGACATAATTACACCGTGTACTTTGGCGTAAGATCGAATACCGCCTGAGCAGTTTATTTTTTTTTCACGTTTATTGAAATTTAAATCAAAATTTAAAATTATTTGATTTTTTTAAATGGACATCACTTAAAAAAGGTGTTTTGGAGCTTTTGTTTTCTATGCTGTCCACTAGTGAGTGGACGTTCCTATAAATCTCATTATATATAAGCAGAGCTCTGCCCGTGCAAACATAGCTATGTGCTTTTTCTAGAAATGGATAGTAGCTCACGGAACGATTACAACGAATTTTCCGATAGTGCTACGTATCTGCTGTATAAAACTGATTACACACCCCAGAGCTCGAATAATGATCTTGACGGTTATGATTACCAGGGTTATCACTGCCGTGTTTACAAAAGAAGATGGTATATCTTGCTGATCTATTGTTCTGTTGGTTTTTCAAATTATATATCATGGAATACTTGGGATCCCATACAAAACACTGCGAAGTTTGTTTATGGATGGAATAATGGAATTATATCTCTATTGGCTGACTGGGGGCTTTTGACATTGATAGTTTTCCCTCCTTTTTACGCTGCACTTCTGAAGAAAAAAGGACTGCGGAGATCAGAATTAGTGACTATAGGCTGTATGTTTCTCGGTGCTTTTCTGAGAATTATTCCTTGGAGAATGGGTCCAATTAACACGCTAATGATAAATGTTAGCCAATTTTGTACCGGCGCGGGTGGTATAATTCCCATGGCTGGTGCAAGTCTCCTTTCAATAACCTGGTTTCCTCCTAGTGAAAGGAGGTTTGCGACATCTTTAGCTTCTGGCAGTCAGCAGTTTGGTTTGGCTCTTTCGTTTCTCCTTGGTCCACTTCTTGTAGAAGAACCAATTTCGGATTCATTTAATTCGTCATTTCTAGAGTTTGAAGCAGAAGAGACTAGGGTTGAGCTTCGAACTCAATATCGGGCTGAAATTCAAACCTATCTTAGAATACAGTTCGCTCTCGTAGCGGTTTTAACTGCATGTATAATCATCTATTTTCCTGCGAGACCTCCTCTTCCACCTTCTAATTTGTCTATCAGTGGTCGTCACTTTTTCGGCTATTCTATCCGACTTATTGTGAAACAACGTAGGTTTTGGATTCTGTCTTTTACTTATGGGTTCTTCAGTGGGTTGTTCAATTCCTATCTAGCCATTCTTGCCGTAGATTTGGCCAGCAATCCTCATTTGCAGTTTTCGCAGTATTGGTCTGGCTGGCTTGGATTTGCGACTACCATAATTGGTGCTGCGACTAGTGTCGTGGTTGCCGCTGCGGCCGATTTGCTCAGGGCTTACAACCCAATCAAAAAATTACTTTTGGCTTTGTTGACTACTGGGTTTCTTGCGTTTGGTGTGTTCATTTTACTGGCAAAAGGCATCGTTCACATTGAATTGAGTTCTATGGAAATGAGGGTATTGGTTTATGTTCTAGTTATAATTACAGGATGTGCCTCTGCTAGTACAGTGCCTTTGATTTTTGAAATCGGATCCGACATACTCTATCCGATTCCAGAAGAGGTCATTGGATCTATGCTTGTATTGGTGCAAAATACTTGCGGGCTCATGTTTCTAATGGTTATGTTAGTCCCTGGCGTTGGCACAAACTGGCTTGATTACGCGGTTTTTGGAGGTATGCTAGCGTCTTTCCCTATGATCTATCTTATGGATGACAAGAATAGACGAATATCAGCCGAACTGTTGCCTAATTAGTTTAGAAAAGTTAGTATACGTAAAAGTTAGTAAAAGTTCTGAATATTTTGCAAAGATTGTATATTTAATTCTTAGTTATGCAGTAGAAGTTACTTGTAATTTTCAACAGTTGGTGCTAATCAGAATAGCTATTAATGCTAAGAAGTATTTTGTATCCTGATTTTTTTTTTCAAACTTATCAACATAATTTATATTTCGGATGTATTTTTCTAAACTTGCTACTACCGAGTAATAGTGAAATCGACATAATTGAAGACTTGCATTTTTTTGAAGTTTTCGTTCCATTTCACTTCTAGAAAAAGACTAAAAATTTCTTCACGCTCGACTTTAGATTTTAGCGGCTAGTCTTTTGCTTTCTTTTATAGAAGGCACATTACGCTCACATCAAGCAAAAAGACAAATGGTAAGAAGAAACATAAATAATTTGAATCTTGTTTAATAAAATCACTCAAATCATCAGTGCTGCGGGCATGCTGAATTTCTTGAAAATTCAAATTTAACTACTGGCTAATAGTAAATAATGATTAATTTTATTACGAGAATTCTAACCATCGTATGTAGCATTAAAGAGTTTCGATATCAATTATTTGCCTCAAATTTCTGGATTCATGATTTTCGACTTAAACTCTGTCGATTTAGTTTATGAATTGTGTATTTCATCTTGCATACACTACATATACAGCACTCTAGGGTCCTATGTCGGCCGTTTAGGCAAATTTTGCCAATAAAAACTTTCCAAAATTTTTTGGTGGATTTTCAGATTATTGGGTGTCGGCTTTTTTTTTTGTTTTCAACAACAAGTTTCCGCTATTTACGATGATTAAGATTTTTAAAATTTCGGCGAAAAGACATCGTTTTTTTTTCGGTTAAAAGGTTAAGCTTCCGGAACGGTAATATCATATAGCTATATAATCCAATCTTGATTGTGGTTTTGAGTATCTGTTGTTGTTGTTGTGGCCTCGTCTCCTTCATCGGTATAGGGTTTCGTTTCGCTTTTATTAATCCTTCATCTCTGGAGGAGATGAAAGTTTGTTTCATTGTTTGTTCCGTCGCTTCCATTATCATTGGCCACCGACGGGATATTTAGTGCATACCACATTTGTTGGTTAGTCAAACATCGTTATGACACTGGACGTCGTCTAGGGTCTCTCGTTTTGTTGTGCCGTTGTGAGGTCATTACCTCCGGTTTGCTAATTATTTCTGGAAGAAAGTTTAGCTCTACTGCTCCACCGTGCTATGTAAGCTGAAGTAATTCAGCTACCCGGAGGGTGTCAGTCCAGAAGTGGAGGCCATCTAGATCTGTCAGCCTGCCTCGACACTTAAATAGGTGACTAACATCATGAGGGCCCTGACTACAGATTTCACAGACATTAAGTATTTTAGGGTCTAGCCTATCCCGGTAATTATTCAGCAAGGGGAATATGCTGGTCGAAGCTGGGCAAGTTTGCACCTGGCGTCACGATCGAGCTTATTTTCACTATCGTCTATTTCTTGTGGAATTGAGTTGAGCAATTTGATGGGGGTGGTTGTTGGTGTAGTCTTCAACTATTTTAATGTGAAGA